TACAGAGTGAGTTCCAGGACAGCCAGGGCTACACAGGGAAACCCTGTCTCAAATAAATAAATAAATAAATAATGAATAGACAAATAAATAAATAGTTAACCCCACCCAGATGTTTTTCACCCTTGCTCTGGCTGAGCAAATTAGCATTCTATGGTCTGTTTAGTTAATACAGCTGTTAAAGACCTATGTGAGTAAAACAGAGGGGAAGAGAATTCAAACCAGATCAAGGCACTTGTTGCCCCTGGAGACTGAAGACCTATAAAGCAAGCATCACATAGCAGTCTCCTTGTCTACCTCAATCACTTCCTCTTCCTGTGAATTACTTCAGTATTCCCCAACTCCTGATAGAGGTAGGCTGGGCCATTTGCCATCTTAGGGATGTTTGTGTTAGAAGTCTTAATGGGAGTCTTAAATGGAAAACGAAGAGTTAACTAGTGTCAGGGTTAGTACCTATGCGATAAAGTGAGAATTTTAGTGTTTGAACCTTCTGTATTTCTCCATTTTGAGAGTCTCTGCCTTTTGCTAATGTCTTCCCATCACTCCCAAGCCCTGCTGAGATACCCTGGAGTCTAGGAGAGTGGGTGGATTAGGCTCCAGCATAGAGAACTTTGCTCTCTAGATTTTTGAATATAAATTCAGATAATATTTAGAATATAACTGAATTTGGAATTTTATTTATTTAGAATACAAATAGAGAGTACATGGATATTCCAGAGACCTGCACGATTGTACAGTAGGTAAAGGCCCTTGCTTGCCATGCCTGGCAATCTAAGTTTGACCCATGAATGCACACAGTGGAAGAAGAGAACTGACTCCTGCAAGTTGTCTTCTGGCCTCCACTACTACAATTCCCACTCCCCTACACACACACACACACACACACACACACACAAATAAATACAAAATAATATAGATTGCATAGTCTGTATTTTATTCAACTTGGGCTGGGATAGATAACAGATACAGCTTGTTCATTCTTTAGATGGTAACAATAGTCTTCTGTGGGGGATGGTTGTTTATTTTATAGGTTATCATAAAACAGACAGCTGAATGTGATGGAGAAATAGAAAATTTGAAACAGATATTAAATAATTATTCAGCTGAGTTCTCCCCGGGACATGTATCACAAAAGCAAGTTGCCAACCTGCCTTCACTACAGGTATGTCTCATTCATCCATCTACCCATCCATCCCATAGACTCTTACTTACCCTTGGCAGCTAGAATCTTTTGTAGTAGGACAATGTTATGCCTGGCATCCATCTTCCAACTGAAACAATTTTCTATCCATTCTTACTCCATGAATTGGTGGTTCTGTGGTGTCATCAATACTGACATTATGACCCCTAAACTTGATATCTGGTTCCAGAAACTAGGTAGGTCACCACTTCTAAATCCTGTGGCAGGGCTTCCAAGGTGCCCACATTCTCAGCATGGTGCATTTGGTTTGCATCGTCTCTGTGTCCAAGATGCTGATGTAGCTTGGATACCCTGACCTTGTGTATTGGGATAGGAGTCAAGCAGTATGGGCTGGCTGAACCTCAGGGGTAATGAAACTGAACACTGTTATAATGAAGGATCTTAGATACCAGGCTGTATTTTTAGTGCCATAAAACACTCTGGGTAGGGCCTTTTGCTCTTTGGTTTTATATCAGCATATCTGTATTGAGAGTGTGATAGAGTCCAAGGACATGAGAGGTGTGTTTTTCCTGCCATCTGATGGACACTCTCAGGCAGTTTATGTGGTTCTCAAAACAAGGCTTTGCTAACTGCTACCTGGGAGGCTGAGGGCAACTTTCTTAACATGGAAGGTGAAATTAAGAGGTTTGAGGTGACACAGCCCATTACTGCTGAATGATAATGCAGGCCCAGTGTGATCAGCTCAGTAGGTGGGGTGAGGGTACCAAGTTTCTTCAAACACTTTAAAACTCAGGATTTCAAAGAGTTTTTGTTACACAAGTACAAATGAAGGAAAACACAAATAGGACAAGTCTTTGGGGCACATCACACAACACAGGCGCATGGCCTTTTTATGAACTGTGGTGGACCAAGGAGTCGGGGAGAGCACCTGGTTCTCAATGTCAGGAAAGAAGGAGCAAATAGAACTGACCCAGGAAAAAACAGACTTCTTCCTTAGCACTTGCAGGTGATTCAGTGTAACTGTGTTACTCATGAAGTGGACCAACCGTAGTGATTTGCTTGAGAGCATGAAACTGTCCACTTGGAAATGAGACTCTTGATACCTGATTGCACATCTATCTTTCTGGGGCGATGGTGGCAAGCAAAGAGCGCAATGTATAGATCAGGCTGGCCTCGAAATCACAAAGATCTGCCAGCCTCTGTGTCTGCCTTCTGAGTGATAGGATTAAACACATGAATCACATGCTATCATGGGTGTTTTGATTTGTTTTTTCTTTAACACTATGCTGAAACTCAACAAACAGAACAAACAGGAAGTTGGGGCTAACTGTGAGTGGGCTCTGAGGTCTCGTCAAGGTGCTCTTCACATTCTCTAGTCCCTCCATGCACCGTGACTGTGCTGTATCTCCTAAGCATAGACGATGCTGTCATGTCACACTGGGTCATTTAAAGAACACTGCCTGAGTCATGCACCTCTTCGAAACTTCATGTGTTTCCACGGTCATTATGTGACACCTGCTTCTTAGGAAAAAATCTTGGAGAATCTCATTTAAGCATATGAGTACAGCTTATTGGCTATTTTATTTCATGTAAAAAATAATGTTCTGTGAGAAAAAGGATCAACAGCTCGCAGGATACATATTCCTAGAAGTACTTTTCAGTTATTGTACTTGGGACATAGCAAAATGCTTTATACATCCTTCCCATTTTGTCACCCAAATATTAATGATGTATTTTTAGGTGTGCAATTTGGGGGCTCAACACAGGGCATTGCTTCTGCTAGATGAGTGCTCTGCTCCTGATCCCCAACATGTATGTTTCCAATAAGGGCATTCTTAAATGAAATTGGCATACTTTTCCTACCATAAATAATTGGTGTCACCTACCTCAATTTATAAAAGATGCTACCATCCCTTTTGTGCTGTCAGGGTTAGTGACAAAAATAGTGAAAGTGGTCAGTAACATTTTAGCAACATTATGGAAATGACATTAACCTTGGATGATGGCTCTCAGCTTTGGACACCACTAGTGGCTCCCAAAGGGCTATGGATACCGCTGTGCAGATGGTGGCTTGGTGCCTGTCTGTCCCTACATCAAGCAGGTCTCTGTTTCCCTGGGTTTATTGTAATGGCTGTGGTATTGCTTTTGTTGGGACCATCTTCATTGAAGTGTAGTGTTCATTGAAAGTAGAACTTGAACCATAGTCAACTCAGAGTTAACTCTGCCAGGCAGCATAGGGTATTCGTTTAGCTATGAGTTCATTAGCAATTCATTGGCCCTCTTCTACACTAGCTGCAACATGATGGAAATCACCTTACTCTAGACTTCATTGCTCTCTCTTATGTATAGTGGTATGTTACTTCTTTGTGTGTAAAAATCCAACGATTTGGGAGGTAGGGAGGTAACTTAGTTGATGGCTATGCTTGCGAGCCTGATTTCAATGCCCAGTCTCATATGAAAACAAACAAGCCAAGACCAATGTTGTGGCATGTGCTTATATAATCTCAGCCTGGGGAGTCAGGGCAGGCAAATCCCTGGGCTTTGTTGACCAGTTAGCCTAACTTACTTGTTGGCTTCTAGCAAGTAAGACCCTGTTTCAAAAAATAGGATACATGGGCTGGATGTGGTAGCACATGCCTTTAATCCCAGCCACAAAGAAGGAAGAGGCAGGCAAATCTCTGAGATTGAGACTTGATCTACATAGTGAATTCCAAGCCAGGTAGGGCTATATAGTAAGACCCTGGTTTTTGTTTTTTGTTTTTTTGTTTTGTCTTTTTTGCTCTTGTTGTTGTTTTTAAGGATGGATGGCTCTGAGATTGGCCCATATGTGCACATGTATCCATGGACATACTTGCACACACAATTTAATGATTATATGGATATCGATTAAAAGAAGATTGGGGGGGGTGTTAGAAGTGTGTGTGTGTGTGTATGTGTATGTGTGTGTACTTGAGATGGAACATGCTAAGCAAGCAAGCACTCTGCCACTGGAGCTACACCCTAGGCAGGAGAAAATTTTAATGACTGGGAGCTTTCTGAAAAGGAGCTCAGGCGAAGGGTGATGGAGGGTCAAAGTAATTGTTTCCTACAATTCCTACTAAATCTAGGAACCTCTAATTTCATAATCCTAGTAGGCAGACAATGCTTTTCCATGTCTGTGAAAACTTACTTGTACATATTAATAATGGTTCCTGAATTAATATTATATAGCTTGGAATCATTCCCAGAGTAAATTTCACTGCAAATCAATTACCTTATTTTAGTTGATTACCATTTTTTAGGATGCTTGGAATGTAGACAAAGTAAACAAATCTAGTAGTATCAAAGAATCTCCAAAGGCAATAAAAAATTTGGTGTCTGATTTTATTTTATCTTGAGGGTTCTCAAGTATTAGTCTTAAGACTTTCCTGGGGGAAACATGGGAACATGTATTTGTAATATTCTGTGCACAAAGTGGGAAGTATATGTTCATCAAAGTGCAGGCTGGTGGTTCTTGTCTCTGGGAGTTCTGTCTCTGTGAGTACTGTGGCTAGCAATACGGCACTGGCTCTGCAGTTAGCTACTTTGGCATTGGTTCACTGCCCTGGATGCACATCAGTCACCTGTGGACCTTATTACAAGTTCCCATGCTTTCTTCTACCCCCAGAGCCTCCTGCTTTACAAGGTCTATGAATAGTTAATGAACCCTACCAGTTATAAATCCTACACAGGTGCTTTGTCAGTACCAGCCGGGGTGAGGAGCCATATTGTCCCAGGAACTAGCTACTGGGTTTGTAAAAACTCAGTAGCCTCAGACCGGGTCAGTAAGCATCCCTTGTCCTGAAGGACTCTGGCTCCTCAGAGCATCCAGAGACCGCTTCGATTTCCCTCAAAAGATGCCCACAACTCTTCTATACAGGGGGAGATGGAAGGGTTGGAAGAGCAGATTCTGAATCTAAACCAGAAGAAGGAAGATCTGCTGGTGGGCTTGAAGGCCGCTGTACTGAACCTTCATGAGCACCTGAAGCGAGAACAGCAAGAAGGGGAAGGAGATGAGCTGTCGTCAGGCCCCTCAGAAGAGGGCGGGGCCGCGGAGAGGCCGCCTACCTCAGACAGGAAGGTAGGCGTGGCTTTCACTTAGTTCTGGTCTCACATTCCCCCTCGAGTTAATGGGTAATACTTTCCACACGAACAACCTGCGATGTCGCCGTCCATAGTAAAGGAATTTTTTAAGTGGAAACACTCCACTTGAGTCTGTTTATCACAGATCTCAGGGCGTGTCTGCTCTGGACACAACCCAGCATTCTTATACCTGAATTAACCTAAAGACACACTTAGGAAATTCCACACGTCATGTGGGAGGGAACCACCTTTGAAGCATCTGCCCTAGAAGAGTCACCCCACTGCAGACTCAAAAGTGGTCCAGCATCCGAGACCACTCTGAGTCCACATCAATGAAAGGCATTCATGTTGCCTGGGGGTGGGGCCATGGGGGTCATGCAAATTAAAAGAATTCCACGGGTGAGATGTTTGGCTAGGAGAACTGAAAGGCACAGAGACTTTGGGCGGACGTGGGCAGACATCTTGGGCAATGCATAAAGATTTAGTTACATAAAAATGCAACCAGGCCAGCATGCCGTGCTAGTCCACAGCAGTGACCACAGGTGTTCTTGTGCTGTGCCTTTTAGCTGAACAGAACAAGCTCCATGTCTTTCCTGCCAGTGGTCAAGGAGGAGGCAGAAGAAAGCTCCGTGAAGAGTGAAGTAAGGACAAACAATGTTCTTTTTGTTTTTGTTTTTTGTTTTAAATTATTCTATTATTTTTTAAATTGTCAGGCGTGGGGGATGGGTAAGGGGTTATATACCCATGACATGAGTAAGGAGCCTTCAGAGGCCAGGGGTGCCTGATGCCCTGGAACTGGATTTACAGACCCCAGAGTGGATGCTGGGAGTCAAACTCAGTCCCTGCAAGAGCAATACATACTCTTCTTAACTGCTGAACCATTTCTCTAACTCCCAGGAAAACACTTTTCTTGTTAAAACTGTCTAGGACCACATCTCTAAATGAATGTCAATGAAAACCTAAGGCTTTTAAAGTTAATGTTGTTTTCTTTTTTTTTT